CAAGAACAGCTCTTATCAGAACTACGGCTTGCCCAAGGTCACCCAGCCAGGTGCAAGTGGAGGAGTGGGGGAATCAAACCCGGTTCTCTCAGATTAGAGTCCGCGCACTTAATCACGACACCAAACTGGCTCACTGAAGTCTGCAACGTGAAAAACTGAAGTCTGCAACGTGAAAAAAGCAGTACAATTATTTCCCAGCAGGGGTGGGTCTCCGCATCTGCCCACCAGCACTGACCTACAGGCTGCTATGAACTTGATTCCAATCCGTTCCACTGTCACCCCAGCTGTGACGCAACCAACTAACAACCACAGGGTGGCAGGAACCCTGCATCATCAGAGAGAAAGCGCTTTATGGATTCCTTCCTCTTCTATACCTGTGCGTTGTGCTCTGGATTATATTTAAATTAATTAATCTATTTATTAATTTAATATCCCGCCCTCCCCGAAGGCTCAGGGCGGCTAACAAGGGCATAAGTGCCAGGTTAAAAAAATAAAACAATATAAAATTACAGTAATACAATATAATACAATCAGGGCTATTTTGGGGCAGGAACGCACAGGAATGGCGTTCCGGCTGGCTTCAGAGTTGACCACGCCCACTACAGCCAAAACCTCTGCATGCGTGGCTACAGAGGGAAGGCCTGGAGGGCCTGGAGGTCGGCTTGCCCGGGCTCCCAGGCAAGCCAAGGGAAGGCATGGGGTGTGTGGCCTAATATGCCAATAAGCTGTGCTGCCAGGGGTGTGGCCTATTATGCTAATTAGTTTCTGTTGTTGGGTGTGGCCTATTATGCTAATGAGTTTTTGCTGGGCTTTTTCTACAAAAAAAGCCCTGAATACAATTAATAAAATATCGGTGCTCCAGTAATCACTCCACTCATAAAACTAAGATGGTGTTCTGGAGATGTTCTAGTAGAACAGCAGCAATATATGTCCCCGCAGCCCTGTCATCCGCCAGGAACGTCTCGCACCCCCGATGACACCCGCTCAAGCGGTGGTAAAAGTGCGGCGATGGAAAGAGCGGTGGTGGAATAATGGTGGCGGCGGCTCCTACTCAAAAGCCTGGCGAGAGGCTCCGTCTTACAGGCCCTGCGGAACTGCACAAGGTCCCGCAGGGCCCGGATCTCTTCTGGGAGCTCGTTCCACCAGGTAGGAGCCGCCACCGAAAAGGCCCTGGCCCTGGTGACAGCCAGTTTGATGTTCCTGGGGCCTGGGATATCCAGGAGGTTTTGATTCCCCGACCGTAGTGCCCTTGGGGGGACATGCGGGGAAAGGCGGTCCCTTAGGTAGGCCGGACCCTGACCATAGAGGGCTTATAGGGGTTACCTGTTGAATAGCTCGGGGGATGATTCCTCGGTGCTCATAGTCCTGTGTTGTGCCCGTCATAGTGTAAGTCTTTCCAGCTCCTGTTTGCCCATAGCATATGATAGTACCTAGAAAAGTTTCCCAAACAAAGAAAGCCACAATGAATTTGAGTCATGTCTGGGACTGCCACCAAAAGGGGGCAGCTTGTCTCCCACGGGGCTAGGGGGTTAGTGACCTCACCGTTCCCGGCCAATCTGTGCTGTGCACAGCTACTTCTGTTGCAAGAGCAGTTTCCCCCCTCAATTTAGCCCAAGGGAGAACAATGTATATTTGAGCAGAAACTGGTGGTGCCACCCTTGGGCTAAATTCAAGGGGGAAGCTGCTTTTGCAACATAAGTAGCTGTGCACAGCACAGACTGGCCAGGAACTAGTGCAGTCACTAACTATTTCCCCTCACTCTCTGAAATAATGTCTCGTTATTATAAAAAAGTTATTTTGCTTTTTGTAAAAATACAGCATTACGTGCCTAGTTCCCTTCCTGAAGCACGAAGGGAAGGGCAAGAAAGTCTATTGAACCAGCATTCAACTCATTGGCCAACACTTCAGCCAAATAAGCTGCACTGCGAGCTACTGGGAAGGCAAGGGGATGCTGAGCTGAGCAGCTGGGGAGGAAACATGTGCACAGAGTTCAGATCTGTATGCATATCTGTGCTTACACCTCGGGGCCACTGCAAAGAAGGCCCTGCTGCATCCCATAACAGTATGCACTGAGTTCACACTACACAGGGCGGTGTAGCGGTTAAGAGCAGTGGATTCTAATCTGGAGAACTGGGTTTGATTCCCCAATCCTCCTCCCCATGAAGCCAGGTGGGTGACCTTGGGCCAGTCACAGTTCTCTCAGAATTCTCTCAGCCCCAACTGCCTCACAAAGTGCCTGTTGTGGGGAGAGGAATGGAAGCATATTGTAAGCCGCTTTGAGACACCTTCAGGCAGAGAAAAGCAGGGTATAAAAACCAACTCTTCTTCTCTTTCATTATGCTGTATTAGCAGATGGGGGGGCATTAAATCGCTGGGTAATATGTTGGCCGCTGTATGTGCCCTTCAACCTTACCCCAGTGCTGACAGAAATGCCCAGAAAAGGCAGATGACCGTGGGGACCAGATACAGGTTCTCACAGATAAGGCTGTTACAAAGGGGAGAGCGAATCAAGAAGTGGCTAGATGAATGCTAGCAGAGAGCAGGAATAAATGGACAGTTCTTGCAATGGACGAAAGCAAGCAGCGCAATCACACAAGGATCGGTACTGGAGCCGGTGCTACTATAAAGGTAAAGGTCTCCCTTGCTCAAAAGCCAGTCGAATCCGACTCTAGGGTTGCGGTGCTCATCTCCGTTTCAAAGCCGAAGAACCAGCGCTGTCCGAAGACGTTTCCGTGGTCATGTGGCCGGCATGACGAAACACCAAGGCGCACGGAATGCTGTTCCCTTCCCACCGAAGTGGTCCCTATTTATCTACTTGCAATTTCTTGCTTTCGAACTGCTAGGTTGGCAGGAGCTGGAACTAGAGACGGGAGCTCACTCCGTCATGCGGCACACTTGGGTCTTGAACTGCTGAACTACTGACCTTCCCCAGCCTGCAGTTCAGCGTCTTAACCACTTGAGCCACCGTTTGTAAATCATCTGGATTTTGGCGTAAGCCGTGTAGCAGCCAACTTTGCAGATGACACAAAATTTTGCAGGTTGGTGAAAATCAAGGAGGATCCCTCTAAACTGGGCGAGCGGGCCACAAGGTGGCGAATGAAGTTCAGTGCTGGGAACTACAAGGTGATGAACACTGGAACAACAACAAAAAAATCCTAACCTCAAATATATGCTGTAGGGTTCTGCACCGGTTGAGACCAAGAAGGAAAGAGATCCTGGGGCTGTGATGTGAAAATGCTGACTCCGCATGCGGCAGCAATGAAGAAGGCGGACTCCGCGCTGGGGATGGAGTATGTGGACAGGAGGGCCTCCGCAAATCGGCTGAGGGCGCAACAACGGGGCAGTGAAGTTAATATACGTAAGTGCAAAGTGATGCACGCTGGAACAAGAAATCCTAAGTTAAAGTACACACTAATGTACTCTGAACTGGCTGAGACTGCGGTCGAATCTGCATTTGCATTTTTAAATCAGTTTCATGCTGCTGTGACGTCGTCTTTCTCTATGCTTGTTTGAATGTTGTTTGGAGGAGATTCTTTTAAAGCAGTGTGGAGGTGCAATGACAGCGGAGCCGCCTCTCTAAAGGACGACAAACATATGTGGATGTGCAAAAGTATGCTAGCACTGTTGAGGTGTGAAAACGACACCAAATGTAGACAGCTTTTTTTGAAGACGGAGTCAAAAGGCTGGGACACCGGTGGGAAAGACAAATGCAGATTCAGCCTGAGAGGGAGAGAGACCTTGGGGTCACAGCCGATAGCTCAACGAAAATGTCAACCCAGTGTGCCACAGCGGTGAAAAAGGCAAACTCTATGCTTGGGATTTTTAGAAAAGGGACTGAAAAATGAAACAGCCAATATTATAATGCCCCTGGACAGATCTATGGTGCAGCCTCATTTGGAACAGCGTGTGCAGTTCTGGTCGCCGTATCTCCAAAAGGACACTGCAGAGCTGGGAAAAGTACGTGGCCCCAGACGGAAGGAGACACCTCAGAGGTGACAGAGACTTGGGGCTTGCCAGTGCTAGATTGTCTCTCTTCACGGGAAGGATAGGAAGAGAAGGACTGGTGCACAAGGGGGATTAGGCAAACAGAGCTATATTCCCTAGGGAACAAGGTCCATTTCGAAGTGTCCACTTGGTACAGAACGTCTCGAAAGATTCCTCCTTGATGGCTGCCGTTACCATGCAGAGCTAACAACAGGCACATAGCTTGCACGAAGACTCAACGTAATGGATGACTGATCGAAAGTTGTAACTTTAAGAGTAAAGAGCGTACCCTGGAACAACAGCACTCAGGGTACATTACACAAGGGACAGAGGAATGTGAGTTTACACTTTCACTCTGTAACCTTGCTCAGTCCATTGCTGTGCAGGTTATGTGTGGGGATATTTCCTTTTGAATGATGGAATCCCCCCCCCCCAATAACCATGATACGCTCCATTTGAACATGTCGATAAAAGGCCACCGTGGTCGGCGAAGAGACTGCGAGATCTCCAGAAGTGCTCAAGTGTGGGAAGATGTTCTCACAAAGGCTGCTCGGAGCAAAAGCGGGGGGGGCGCAGGTGCCAGACAGAGCTTGTAAAAAGCACCGTGGATGGTGTAACAAACTTACTGACCAGCTGGTGGCAGGGGAGAGTGAGGACGCCCCCTGGGAGTCGGATTGTCTCAGGAGGGCAGCAGGCTGCTGGGCCCACGACCGCTGCTAAGCGTCCCTACCTCTCGGAGTGGCCAAAGCGGAACAGCGCCTGCAGGCCAGTGGGACATTCTGCAACATCGAGGGATTAAAATGTAGGATTCGTGGCCAGAGGACGTAGCGATGCCCACAAGCACAGACTGTTCTAAGAGAGGATTAGACAGACTCACGGGGGATAGGTTCATCAAGGGCTACTAGGAGCAGTGACTAAAGGGAACCTCCATTAAGAGAGGCAGCAAACCTCTGAACCCCAATGCTAAGCGGCAGGGCTTTTTTTGTAGCAGGGACTCCTTTGCATGTTAGGCCACACTCCCCTAATGTAGCCAATCCTAATGAGTGCCTGCTGTTGGGTGTGGCCTATTATGCTAATGAGTTCCTGCTGTTGGGTGTGGCCTATTATGCTAATGAGTTCCTGCTGTTGGGTGTGGCCTATTATGCTAATGAGTTCCTGCTGTTGGGTGTGGCCTATTATGCTAATGAGTTCCTGCTGGGCGAGGCCAACTTGGGAGCCAGCCGGAACTCCGTTCCTGTGCGTTCCTGCCCAAAAATAGCCCTGCTAAGCGGCAACATTAAGGGAAGGCCTCCATGTCCTGTTTGTTGGCCCGCCATTGCAACTGGTGGTCCACCACGTGAGACAGGATGCTGGACTAGAAGGGCCACTGTTCTGATCCTGCAGGTCCCTTCTGATGTTCTTTAAAATGTACCATTATATCCATTGAGAGCTTGGGAGACCAGGTCTCTGGCTACCGTGTCGTAAACCAGCTCTTGTGCCGCGTGGTGAAGGATGCCATCCAGTTTAAAAGACCAGTCTGTCTGTTTGTTGTTGACGACCCCCTTTGAACGGTCTCTCTCAATGTAGAAATTGATCGTCTGGGAAAGGAGAAAGAGGCAACCTGGTTATTGGCTAGCCTAAAAATACAAAACAGGAGAATGTAAGAAATGGTTTGCTCTACTGGAGAAGAAATGAGGTACCATCTAGAGAAGAAATCATAAACAAATTGCTTGAGACTGCAGGAATGATCAATCAACTTTATTGCTGAGAGGACAAACTGAAGCAAGTTTTGAAAATACACGGTCAAGATTTTACAAATGGATTGAAGACGACAATCAATAAAATGTACTGACATACAACCCACCTAGAAGGAGCAAAAACCGTTCTTTTAATTCTATGCAAAAGACGTATACAAAATACAAGGTGGAACGTAGAAAATAAATAACTAAATATTGTATGGGATACCCAAACAGACAATTTAATGATGTAACGGTAACCCCCCAATTATGTATACATGTTTGTTTGTGTTATGTTTGTCTTTTACAAAATAAAAACAACTCTATGAAGAAATGGTTTGCTCACTGAGAACAGCAGTGTTCCCTCTAAGCTGTGGAGTCTTGTGAGCAAAAATTCTACTTTGTGAGCTACTGGCATTAAAGCTGTGAGCCAGCGATTGGGCTGCTGCATAAATTAGTTTGCTCTGGAGCCATCCTTCCTCAGCGGAGACAAAAATGTGTGAGCCGGAGGCTAAAAAAATGTGAGCTAGCTCACACTAACTCAGCTTAGAGGGAACACTGCTCCTGGCCTCGATTCAGACCCAGATCAGAAATCCCAGTTTGGTGCTAACAAACCGTAGTTGGTCTATCTGCATTCAGACCTCACAGACAGAATCATAGAATCACACAGAGTTGGAAGGGGCCAACCAGGCCATCTAGTCTAACCCCCTGCTCAATGCAGGATCAGGCTAGAGTCTCTGTTCTCAAAAGTGGGCAGTGCAGTGTCTCTGCAAGCTCACACAGCACAGCACAAAAACAACAGCCCTTCTTTGCTGGTTGTACCCAGCATCTAGGACTCAAGAGGCATCCTGCCCCTGTACATGGAGCTAAAGATAACAATACAGGGGTTGCAGTATCAAAAACTAATAACAACAGAAATACTGCAATTGTGCATACATATATTCATATTTTTTTAATAATCCTATGAGAATTCAAAAACATATAAATTCAGTATAACATTAATTTCATGTCTTTACAGATAATAACAAATGATGAAATGATGGACGAAACTCTCCGGAATAGCTTCCGTTTCGTGAGCCTTCTTCTTACATCAATCAGCCTATTAAATACATTTTACAGTCAATGTTCCATCAAGGAATACACCAAACCTCAATTTCAAAATGTTACCACCACTTCATACATACAATTGTTGTAAAAGATTTATTGGTAAACATGTAATGAGAAAATGGTAAAAATTTATTGTAGAAAGTCTATGAAGTGAAGAAGACAACTGATCGTATGTATGAAGTGGTGGTAACATTTTGAAATGTAAAATGCATTTAATAGGCTGATTGATGTAAGAAGAAGGCTCACGAAACGGAAGCTATTCCGGAGAGTTTCGTCCATCATTTCATCATTTGTTATTATCTGTAAAGACATGAAATTAATGTTATACTGAATGTATATGTTTTTGCCTGTACACGGAGCTTCCACGTGGATATCATGGCAAACAGCTGCCACCACTTCCTGTCGAAATTAATTCCATACTTCAACTATGTTTCTTTTCAGAACTACAGCCAATCTGCTTTGCTGGGCAACCCGGGAGGCAGACAAATGTGCTTCTCTCCACACTACTTACAAGCAGTGTTCCCTCTAAGCTGAGTTAGTGTGAGCACAAAGAGCACTGCTCTTTGCCTAAGGACAATTCTGCTGAGGACACTTTGGCTAAACAATCATAGGAAGGCACTTTCTGGACCGGAAATCATTACCAGTGAAACACTACTTGGCATGTGATTGCATCTTTGGAGGCCTCATTTGTACTTTTATTCTGTGCCTAGTGGTTTCATTTTGGAACAATTTTCATCTGCGGCCCCCAGCCACAGAGGCAGGGCTGGGGTTGAAAATGGCCCGTGGAACCGCCCGCCACTGCAGCAGCCGGCGCCCCCGGCCTCAGCCCACCGCCCAAGACCACCACCCGTTGGGGGCTGCTGCTTTTCCCGCTCCCGGGAAGCAGGGGGGCTTTTGGCAGGGGGCACCGGGCACTCTAGGCGAATGCCTAGTTCGCCTAGTGAGCAAGCCGGCCCTGGGGGGACGGACCGATCTGTTGATAGGTAATTGATGGGGGGGGGGGGGGGGGGGGGAGAACCACGGGCAAAAAAAGACACGCGGCGGCGGGATCACATAGGTCCCCTGAGCCCCCGCGCACTTCCTCCCTGGCATGATCAGATGCTGGGGGGAAGCCACTGAAGAGGGAGGGAGGCAGCCAAACTGCGCATGTGTGCGCATGCGCAGTTCGGTCGGGAGGCTGGATTGCTGCGGAGGACGAGCGCACCAGCGATCCCATAGCTTTGCTGTGGTGCTCCAGGTAAGTTCTAATCTGTAGGAGGTCCTTTTTTACAGCGGGTTTTCCGGGTGTAGGGACGGATCGGGGACGGGTGCGTGCCGCTTCCCAGATGTTGCAGTGAGATTGCGCCCATTTGCTGCGCCCCCAATCCGTCCCTCTTCCGGGCCAAAATCTCCCGTGTGACCGGGGCCATATATTTAGCTTTTATTGTTGGCCCTCTTTTCTATTTGACTAACCTTTTCAGGTTCTGGCTACATGGGACTGTAGCACACAAAATAAATGAAAACTGTCATGTCTGCTGACCGCCACCAGGGGCCAACGAATACTCCTGAGCTCTATACAAACAATAGGGACTAGGCTCCTAGTCTCTTCACTTGGGAACCAATAGGACCGTGGCGGGAGATTTGAACCCACCAACGGGACCTAGGGGGGTGTCCCTCAGGTGTGTATACAGTTGGCCATCCGGCCAGTATTCTGTGTTCTTGTTGTGTACCAGTAAACCATGCTGATCACTGCATCCGTCTCTGTGGTTTCTACATACGTCTAACCCACTACACTTCAAAAACCTTGCACCTCTGCCTTCACTACATAAAACTGATGGCAATCTTAAGCAGGTCTACTCAGAGTCCCACTCAAGTCTATTCAATGGGCCTTACTCCCCAGGAAAGTGCTCTGAGGATGGCCCTGTGCTTCCCTATGTCCACACTGGTCACAGCCACCGTGAAAATGCATTTGTCAGTGCCGTCCAAGGAAAAAGACCCTCTGCTCTTTTTTTTACCGTCTCTTACCTGATTGTCCGCCCCAAGCTTGATCATATCTTGTGAGAAGTCAGCCGATGGCCTGAGTCGTGCAAATGCGTTCACCCTTTTCATGGAGGCACACATCGTGTCAAAGGCTGGAACGGGCAAACGGGAAAGGAAAGTCAAAGTTTTGCTTTTCCTAAGGGCCGATTCATCCCAAAGCTTAAAGCTACAGCTGGCAACAACGAAGTGAACGGTATTTATGACAAAACTTGCCGTTGCTTTCAGATCAGAAGCGATCACCTACCCCATGACACACTGACACACACAAAGGTGCAATTCTGGGTCTATTTACATGGGACTAAGTTTCTGTGTAATTCCTTGGTAGAAAAGAACACACAGCACGATCTTACGTTCTACAGAGGGTGGCTAGCAGTCTCCTGGGATTACAACTGATATCCAGGCAACAGAGATCAGGTCCCCTGGAGAAAACAGCCAGTGCGCGTTCCCACCTCCTTGCCGTCTAAGGAGAACAAAGGCCACGGGAAGAGAGCTGTAAACTCGAATCCTCGCGCCTCTGTGTGCTGGAAATGACTGTTAATCAGCCAGTCACAGGGATGCTGTGGCAGGGCTCTTTTTGTAGCAGGAACTCCTTTGCATATTAGGCCACACACCCCTAATGTAGCCAATCCTCCAAGAGCTTACAGAGCTCTTCTTACAGGGGCTACTGTAAGCTCTTGGAGGATTGGCTACATTAGGGGTGTGTCGCTTAATATGCAAATGAGTACCTTCTACAAAAAGACTTCAATTCCCAGGGACCACTGCTCTTAAAGATATATGGCAGTTCTACTTAACTACAGTTAAAGGCTGGCTGGGGGCAGCACAGGTGTTATAGCTCACTGCGGTTCATCCCCTACTCAGACGCCACCCCCACCAGTGTTCCCTCTAAACTGAGTTAGTGCGAGCCAGCTCACAGTTTTTTAGCCTCCAGCTCACACATTTTTGTCTTAGCTCAGAAAGGATGGCTCCAGAGCAAACTAATTGATGCCGCAGCCAAATCGCTCGCTCACAACTTTAAAGCCAGTAGCTCACAAAGAAGAATTTTTGCTCACAAGACTCCATAGCTTAGAGGGAACATTGACCCCCACCCCCAAATCTCCAGGAATTTCCCAACCTGGAGCAGGCCCCCTCATAAAACATCACACATGAACGCTACCGCTTCTGCTGCATAAGCCTACCCTCAAAGTGCACGCTGGTTTGGCCGTCATGGATTCACTACACATCCCAGGAAAGGTAAGTGGGGTAGGAAGGGGGAGGAGTGGTTCCCAAGAGACTCTCCAGATATTTACCCCCAATTACAGTTCTCAGAGTCCCTCAGGAAAGGACAGCCAAACAAATGGCACCCAACAATGTGTAAATTAATGCTTCACCAATTTACCAGAACACAAGCTGGGGAGCAAGGCTCGACGGCCTTGAACAGGGGCTTGCCCAAGTGACAGAGGTGGCTAAGCCTATCAGAACTACGAGCCATTAGTAAAGGTAAAGGTTTTCCTGACTCGAGAGCTAGTCGAATCCGACTCTTGGGGGCGGTGCTCATCTCCGTTTCCAAGCCGAAGAGCCAGCGCTGTCCGAAGACTTCTCCGTGGTCATGTGGCTGGCACAACTAGACGCCAAGGCGCACAGAACGCTGTTACCTTCCCACCGAAGCGGTAGCTATTTAGCTACTGGCGATTTCTTGCTTTCGAACGGCTAGGCTGGCAGGAGCTGGGGCCAGAGACAGGAGTTCACTCCATCACGCGGCACGAGGGTCTCGAACCACCGAACTACTAGCCTTCTGGTCTGCAGCTCAGCGCCTTAACCTCTGCGCCACCGCAGCCATTATGATGGCTAAAAAATGGAGCCTCCCTGCTCAGGAACAGCCTACCCCTATTTGTTAATTTCATTTGTACTCTTTTCTCCTGAATGGGATAAGAACATCAGGGAAGCCAATGCTGGATCAGGCCAATGGGCCATCCAGTCCAACACTCCATGTCACACAGTGGCCACAAATACCAGGGTCCACCAGGAGGTCCATCAGTGGGGCCAGGACACTAGAAGCCCCTCCCACTGTTGCCCCCCCAAGCCCCCTAAAGCGGCCTGCACTGTTCTCTCCTCCTCGGTTTTAACCCCACAACAACCACCCTGTGAGGTAGGCCATGCTGATAGCGTGTGACCGGCCAAAGAGCTCCCAGTGAACTTTTGCGGTTGGTACAAGTGGGGATGATTCGAGCCCAGGCCTCACCAAGACTAATCTGCCACACTGACTCTCCACCACCAGCAGACTGACTGCCAGACGCTTCCCTCCCTGGCCCGCCGCCTAAAAAAGGACCAACAGGCTAGACAAGCGTTTGCGCTTATCCAGCGGGCTTCTTCTTGCGGGCTTAACAGGTAAATGACAGCTGGGCTGATCGAGGACGGTGAACGGGCTTCGTCCTTCCGTCGGCGGGCACTAACCGCGGCCTCCTTCGATTCCCACCGCGGTGCTTGTGGGACGGCGGCGCGGTGGGCAATGAAGGCGAGCGACGGCGGTCGCCCCGGCGACGGGCCCTTCCGGCGCGCCGGTTGCCACGGCGACCGCCGCTTCCGGCACACGCCGGAAGTCCCCGGGGCATCGCCGCGGTACGGTGGCCGCGCGGAGCCAGGCGGCGCCCGACGCGGTGCTGGTGCTGCGGCGAGGCGAGAGGGTCAGACCCGGCCGGCCCGGGCGGGCGACGCGAGGCCGGCAAGATGCTGGAAGCGGCCGGGCCGGACCCGGAGCTCGACCCGGAGGACCTGGTGCACTTCTCGGTGGGGGACCTGCCCAGCCGGGGCTACGGGGTGATGGGCGAGATCCGGCGGCAGGGCAAGCTCTGCGACGTCACCCTCAAGGTAGCGCCCCCGCCCCGGGAAAGAGGGAGGGCGGCGGGTGGCCGGACAGACCCCGCAATCGCGGGCTGCGCGCGCGCGTGCACACCTTGGAATCCACATTGCACTTGCGTGCAAAGGGGGGAACGTTGCAAGCAGTTTGGTCGGGCAGGCTTTGTGTGGACTAGGGGAAGGTGCCTACCAATGTTCCCTCTACTCGTTATGCAGACTGGATACATCTTTAAAAAATTTTTTATGGCTTGAGCATTCTCAAATATATATATATATATGTATGGATACTTTTAAGGTCCTTCTAAAAAATATCTGGATTTATTATACGGTATATTATAGGTTACTACTCTAGTAGAACAAGTGGAAAATAACAAGAAAGTGACAAGGTAATAAGATGCTCCTGCTGACAAGTTGATAGAGGGCATTGTGTTAAAATGGATTTGCACTTACAGGCTGTATTAATGTTTAAATAGTAATCTTGTTTATGTATACTTGACTTATCTTTTAATAAAATCGTTTTTAAAAAAAAGTCTTGCGAGCAAAAATTCTATATTGGCATTAATTCTACTGGCATTAAAGCTGTGAGCGAGCGATTTGGCTGCTGCATCAATTAGTTTGCTTCGGAGCCCCTCCTTCCTGAGCTAAGAGAAAAGTGTGTGAGCTGGAGGCTAAAAAACTGAGCTAGCTCACACTCACTCAGCTTAGAGGGAACACTGGTGCCTACAAATGCGACCAGAGAGTGTCAGGCTTGTCCCCTTAGTGCATCTAAAGCCGTTTTAAATGAAGCCTTCTAGATGCAATGGCACTTGCAGCCATGAGAACGGCACACCTGTTCCACAGGCCTTGTGTCGTAGGGGAAGGGACAGAACAGATGCGGCCTGGGAGTGTGGTGTTTGGTCCCCTGGTGCATATCAAGCTGTTTTAAATAAACGAGCCAGTAAAGTCTTTTAAAATGAAACTGCACTTCCGTGCAAGGGGATGGTATGCCGTGGCAAGCGGTTTTGTGGGACGGGCTTTGTGGACGAGGGGAAGGTGCATAATTGATGCCACCAGAGAGTGTGGGCATTGTCCCCTAGTTCATCTAAAGCCATTTTTTTAAAAAGCGTTTGGAATAAAATTGCACTTGCATGTAAAGGGAATGGGACGCCGTTGCAAGCTGTTTTGTTAGGCAGTCTTTGAGGGGAAGGTGCCTACAGATGCGACCAGAGAGTGTCGGTTTTGTCCCCTGGTGCATCTAAAGCTGTTTTAAATAAATGAACCAGTAAAGCCTTTTAAATAGAATTGCACTTGCACGCAAAGGGGGATGGCACCCCGTTGGGAACAATTTGGTTTGACAGGCTTTGTGGACTAAGGGAAGGTACATATAGATGCAACCAGAGAGTGTGGGGTTTGTCCCCTTAGTGCATATAAAGCCATTTTTTAAAAAACCTTTAAAATAAAATTGCACTTGCATGCAAGGGGACGGCACGCTGTTACAAGTGATTTGGTTTGACAGGCGTTGTGTACGAGGGGAAGGTACCAATAAATGCAACCAGAGAGTGTGGAGATTGTCCCCTAGTGGATATAAAGCCATTTTTAAAAAGCCTTTTAAATAAAATTGCATTTGCATACAAGAGCAGTTTTGTTGGACAGGCATTGTGTACGAGGGGAAGATATAGATGCAACCAGAGAGTGTGGGGATTGTCCCTTAGTGCATATAAAGCTGTTTTAAGTAAGTAAACCAATAACGCTTTTAAAATAAAATTGGACTTGTATGCAAGGGGATGGCATGCCCTTACAAGCAATTTGGTTTGACAGGCTTTGTGGACTAAGGGAAGGTACGGATAGATGCAACCTGAGAGTGTGGGGCATATCCCCTGGTGCATATCAAGCCGTTTTAAATAAATAAACCCATGAAGCCTTTTAAATAAAATTGCCATTGCATGCTAGGGGACGGCACGCCGTTGCAAGCAGTTTTGTTGGACAGGCTTTGTGGACTAGGGGAAGGTGCATATAGATGCAACCAGAGATTGTGGGGTTTGTCCCCTGGTGCATCTAGAGCCGTTTTAAATAAATAAAGCCTTTTAAATGAAATTGTCCTTGCAGGCAAGGGGACAGCACGCCTTTTTGACGGGCTTTGTGTAGTAGCGGAAGGTATGTCTAGATGCAACTAGAGAGTGTGGGGTTTGTCCCCCTAGTGCATATAAAAGCATTTTAAATAAATAAACGAATAAGTGGATGGCACGCCGTTACAAACAATTTCATTGGACTTGCTTTGTGTATGATGGGAAGGTACATATAGATCACACCAGAGAGTGTGGGGTTTGTCCCGTAGTGCATCTAAAGCTGTAAAGCCTTTTAAAATAAAATTGCACATGCAGACAATGGGATGGCACGCCGTTACAAGCAATGTTCCCTCTAAGCTGTGGAGTTTTGTGAGCAAAAATTCTACTTTGTGAGCTACTGGCATTAAAGTTGTGAGCAAGTGATTTGGCTACTGTATGAATTAGTTTGCTCTGGAGCCATCCTTCCTGAGCGAACGCAAAAATGTGTGAGCCAGAGGCTAAAAAACTGTGAGCTATCTTACACTAACTCAGCTTAGAGGGAACACTGGTTACAAGCAGTTTTGCTGGACGGGCTTTGCGTAGTAGGGGAAGTTACCTATAGATGCAACCAGAGAGTGCAGGGTTTGTCCTATGAGCACCGCAACCCTAGAGTCGGATTCGACTGGCTTTCAAGCAAGGGAACCTTTACCTTTACATATAAGGCCGTTTAAAATAATTAAACAAAGAACGCTTTTAAAATAAAATTTCACTTGTAACAGGGCATGCCGTCCTCTTGTAAACAAGTGAAATTTATTCAAAAGTCTTTATATACCCAGGGGAGGTGGGTGTGTGTACTCAACCAAAGGTTACCGCGTTGTGGTGCATGTTTTTTGGAATATTGGTACTTTGATTAAAGTTTCTGGTTATACTTTGAACCTTTTCTGTAATTGACAGTTGTACCTCTTTCTGTAAATCCCCCCCCCCACAACCTTTTTGGGTACAGATCAAGATGGGTGGCCGTGTCTGTCTGTAACAGCAGAAAAGAGCACCTTAAAGGCTAACAAAACCTGTGGCAGGGTAGAAACTTCTTTGTTCTGGTTTATTCTCCTCTGTTCTGGGTTGGCATTTTCTCCCCTTCTCTGTTGCTGTTGTTTGTTTTTGCTGGGCAAAACCCCACCACAAAATCCAGCGGCGCATGAAAGGCCTGACGGCATTCCGAGCTGTTGTGAGTCTCAGCCAGTTTGTTAAAACTGAAATGTGAAGGGGGGGGGCTTTGCAGTGGAGATTACAGTTTTCCCTTCCCCTCTCCGGGCGAAGGGACCTTGGGCTCTTCTTGAAATTTCATGCTCCGAAAATTTTGCTGGTTTCTAAGGTGTGCTTCTGGACTTGAATCTCGCTGTAGATCTGCAGAAGCTCATATTGGAACAAGAAGGGGTCTCTTGGCAGCAGTGTTTCCCTTCTAAGATGAGTTAGTGTGAGCTACTTGACAGTTTTTTAGCCTCCAGCTTATACATTTTTGTCTTAGCTCAGGAAGGATGGCTCCAGAGCAAACTAATTTATGCAGCGGCCAAACCGCTCACTCACAACTTTAACGCCAGTCGCTCACAAAGTGGAATTTTTATTCACAAGACTCCACAGCTTAGAGGGAGCGTTCCTTCCTTCCTTTCTTCCTTCCAGTGTTCCCTCTAAGCTGAGTTAGTGTGAGCTAGCTCACATTTTTTTAGCCTCCGGCTCACATATTTTTTATCTCAGCTTGGGAAGGAGGGCTCCAGAGCAAACTAATTCATGCAGTAGCCAAATCACTGGCTCACAACTTGAATGCCAGTAGCTCACGAAGTAGAATTTTTGCTCACAAGACTCCACAGCTTAGAGGGAGCCTTCCTTCCTTCCTTCCTTCCTTCCTTCCTTCCTTCCTTCCTTCCTTCCTTCCTGTGTTCCCTCTAAGCCAAGTTAGTGTGAGCTAGCTGTCTTTTAGCCTCCGGCTCGCACATTTTTGTCTCGGCTCAGGAAGGATGGGGCCCCAGCGCA